GCCCACTCTCTCAGTTGCCGGCCAATAGAAGCCAAGGATTTTTGCTGAGCACAGCAGCAGCATAGGAAGCTGTCTCCCTCCCTCCTCCCCCTCCTCTCTCATGCCCAGAGCAGAGCCTGCCTCTGGCACTCCAGCCCCTCCCTTCCCCAACCCTCTGTCCCCCACCCTGCACCCATACACCCCCTTCCCAGATTTGGCACCCCAGATCACAATCCCCTCCTACCCTAGGTCACATCCCCAAACCCTGCACCCCAGTTCTCTGCCCTATGTCATAACTGCCTCCTTCATTCAAACTCCCTCCCAGATCCCATTCTCCCTCCTGCACCCCAGTCCCTTACTCCAAGCTCCCTTCTGCACCCAACCTCCATCCCAGACCCCGCACCTCCTTCATTAACACCATGGAAGAGGACGGCTCTCAACCACTTTCCAAAATCTTGGAGTGGCCCCCCATCAAAAATTATTGCCTACCCCTGGCATAGCCTGTATCATTTATTGTGGGGTTCAGTTTTTTCACACTGCCTCCGCATACTTGGTTTTCAGTGGGTCACAGGTTGTCAACCTCTTTCTATCTGAGCCCCTGCCCCAAGGTGCTACAAAAACGCCACGGCCCATCTGTGTCACAATTGGTTTTCTGCATCTACCAGCCAGTACCAGAGTTAGGGGGTAACCAGCAATTCAGTTGCCCATGGCCCCATGCAGCATGGCCCCTGCAGAGCTAAATTGCTCAGGTGTTGGCTTCAGCCCCATGTGGCAGGGCTCTGAGCTCCACAATTCAGCCCCATGCACTGGGTTCCAGCTAATCTAATGCTGTCCGTGCTTAGAGGAACCCCGATACTGCTCATGGTCAACCTCTGAGGGCTCTGAAACCGTGGCTGAGATCCACTGCCACACAGAATTATCTTCCAGTTTCAGACGTAGCTACCCGTTCAGAGATACAGGGCAGCTCTTAAAGCTGTGGTTTTCAGGCCGTCTGCAGACTCAGGAAGATAACACTGAGTGCTCAGGGGTTCAAGGTTTTCTTCAAAGCCACCGAGGCTGGAAGCACAGTTTTGTTGCAGGGAAAGCAGCATTCTGGAGCATGAGTCTGTGTGAAGAGGAGGATTCCATTGCCACAGAACTGTGGAATACATGGAGTTCTGCCAGCAGTATCTTGGGGACATGTTTAGAGGGTTAGTTAATGGCTGTAGCAATGTGTGGTCTTCAGACAAAAGGCGCCTGAGAACCCGCACTCCATCCACCAGTACCCTGGGGAGCGCAGCCCTCGGCCACTTTGCAAATACTGCGAGTGGCCCCCCCCATCAAAAATTATTGCCCACCCCCATTTAGGGCGCATACTTGGCTTTGCAAGAAGCTGGCTGGGGGCCAGCGCCAGGGACGACAGTACTTTGGGTTCTGAGCCAAGGAGCCCCGGGCTCAGATGGCCCAGGTACCACGCGGCACGGCGGTTTCAATGCGCTTTACCTAGCCGTGCACGTGGCTGCTCTCCCCCACAAGGCCAGGGACCAAACAGCTCTTCGGACTTTCCCAGGGGCCGGAAAAGCACTCGACATTCATGGAGGTGAGGTCTGCCCATGGCTGAGAGCCAGCCTGGGTAGGAATGCTGTCCCTACTCCCCGTCTCTCAGAGGCTGGGAGTGGCTGACGGGAGAGGGATGGTTTGAGGATTCCCTGTTCTGTTCCCTCCCTCCGGGGCCCCTGGCATTGGCCCCTGTGGGCAGACAGGCCCCTGGGCCAGATGACCCCTTGCTCTGACCCAGTGCGGCCGTTCTTACGCGGACGCCTTGGGCGATGCACCCCGGGCAGCCTGCTTCTACGATGAGATCCCATCGAACAACAAGCTGCCCAGTTAACGCTCTGTCCTCCGCTCCTCGTGGGTACGACGCACGGCCAGGGCGAGCTGGACAACTCTCCCCCGCGTCACGAGGGAGCGGCAAGCGCAGGAAGCCGACCCCAAACTCGCGTTCTCACCTTATCCCACTCGTGCTGGGAGTCCACCTTCTTTTCCAAGAACTCTGCCATCCCAGCCCCCATCTTGTGGCAAATGTCCGCAATCACGTCTCGATACACCTTTGCCAGGCTCCTGAACTCCAAGGAGATCTGCAGCAGAAACCACAAGGACATAGACACTGGGCAGAAAGTGGCCTCTGTCAGTAGACTCGGAAGGGAGGAAAAATGTTATAGGCGCAGGGGTGTGATGTGGCTGCTCCGACAGTAGGGCCTGGCAAAATCCTGTCTGTCTCTAAACGGGAGCAGAGTCAAGCCCCACACCAGGAATTAGACAGACAAGGAACTGAGCGACTCACCGTTGGGAAGTCCTCCAGCACTTGCTTGTCCTTCTCCTGGCTCTCCGTGTATCTCCAGTCTGGCTGATACAGGTAGGAGTGGAAATCGTGCAACATGGGGACCTAGGCTGGGAACATCCCGACCAGAAAGGAGCAACAGCAGCTGCCTAAAAAGCTTCGAGTCCTCCCTGGACATGTGACGGACCCCACCTTGGGACAGACGTTCGCCCAAGGAGAACAACGGGATCCCCCCACATGGGCAAGGCCCTGGGGGCTCTTCCATTTCTGCGTCTCGCCTCAGGAGGATCTCTGCTAGGAACTGAAACCTAAAGGCACGGATCATAGAATCATAGAGCTGAAGGAGACCTCAGAAGGTCAAGTCCAGCCCCCTGCTCTAGGCAGGGCCAATCCCAACTCAATCAACCCAGCCGGGGCTTTGTCAAGCCAAGACTCAAACACCTCTAGGGATGGAGATTCCACCCCCTCCCTAGGGAACCCATCCCAGGGCTTCCCCACCCTCCTAGGGAAATAGTTTTTCCTAATATCCCACCTAGACCTCCCCCACTGCAACTTGAGCCCATCGCTCCTTGTTCTGCCATCTGCCACCACTGAGAACAGCCTCTCTCCAGCCTCTTTGGAACCTCCCTTCAGGAAGTTGAAGGCTGCTCTCAAATCCCCCCTCACTCTTTGCTTCTGCAGACTAAACAACCCCAAATCCCTCAGCCTCTCCTCGTAGGTCATAGGCTCCAGCCCCCGAATCATTTTGGTCGCCCCTCCGCTGGACCCTCTCCAATGCGTCCACCTCCTTTGTGTAGTGGGGGGCCCAGAACTGGACACAATACTCCAGATGTGGCCCCACCAGAGCAGAATAAAGGGGAATGATGACATCTCTGGATCTGCTGGCCATGCTCCTCTTAATGCACCTAACATGCCATTAGCCTTCTTGGCTACAAGGGCGCCCTGTTACACAGGTGAGCAGCTAAACATGAAATGAAACAAAGACATTTCTGATGCTGCACCCTGCAATGTATTTCTAGCTCTGCACACAAATCAGAGATGGGCCCAAGCCATAGCCTTCAGACCACTATTTCTACCACCACCCACCTCCGGGCACCGCAGAACCACGGCTCTGCTCCGGGCCATTCCTTCCAGAAAGGGCATTTACAACTACAAAGCCATGAAGCAAAAATGGCATTTCCCACCATCATCTGTCTCTGCAGCAGTGATGCCAGCGTTAAAACGGGAGTCCCTCTGAGAACAATGTAGCGGCCACCCCTGCAGACATAATTCCACCAGCTTTATATACCACATCTGCTCACACCAGGGGTGGACAATAATTTTTGGCCAGGGGCCACTTCAAACATTTCTGAATTTTGACCACTCTGGAAGGGGCGGGCCCGGGATACTTCTGGGTTCCCCACCCCCAGACTATGATTGGTCTGGGGGAGCGCCGGCCCGCCTCCCCTTTCCTCTAGGTGCCCATGCCCTGGTTGAGAGGAGACTTCCCACGCCCCCCCACCCAGGCCAATCAGGGGGAACGTGCGAAGTCTTCTCCCGCCTGCCAGGAGCGTGCGGCACTTCTAAGGGCGGGGCCAGGGCGGAGGAAACTTTGCACGTTTCCCCACCCCCGAGTCCAGTCCCTGATTGGCCGGGGGAGCGGATCCCAAATCTGGCCCACTGAGGCCCTTTTGCCCACCCCGGCCTAGACTAGGGGTGGGAAACCTCCGGCCCCTGTAACACTTTGATACAGCCCATGGATGGCATCTGGCCGCTTTCTCTTTCTATCCTGCTGCCTGTGCCACCGGATTTCCCGGCAGTGTCTCAGGCAGCAGCGCTACCCCATCGGGGCAATGAGCTCTTTAAACAGCCGCAGCGACGCCGGCACCGGGGGAGCGGCCGGGGCTAGGAGCTGGGAGCCTTTTGCTGGGTCTTTAACTCAAAGCCTTTAACCCCAGACAACTCCAGGGGAAGGCTAGTTCCCAGACCCCCCCTTCCACCCCAGGCCCCTCCTCTTCCTGGGTGAAGCCGGCCCGAGACCACCTACCAAAATACATTAAGCAGCCCCCCTGCAAAAATTATTGCCCACCTCAGCCTAGGCAGAGAATCAATAAAGGCCCCACTGTAGAGACCGGGAATTCCTGCTTCCTTATAAGCGTGGGCTAGGCCTTAAGATGCTAGAAATGAAGGATGGTCCAGTAGCTAGTGCGCCAACGTGGAGCCTGGCCTCAATTCTCTGCTCTGCCACAGACTTCCTGCACGACCTTGGCACAGTCCCTTAGCAGAGAGGGACTATACAGTACTGTCCTACCTCAGGGTGGTTTGAAGGGTGTGAGGAGCAGGAAGGGACGTCATGGAAGTCCCGCCGATACCCACACAGCATTTCCTGCGACCGAGGCTGGCCATTCCACTCCCACTCCACCCTTCCCCTCAGCCCAAAGGTGGAAGGAAAGGGCCTTGAATCTTTACACTGTGAGACTGGAGTGCATTTTATGTGCTCGCAAGTGGAATCTTAGCCCTACAGGGGCAGACTCTTCAGTGGCTTGCAACACACCCCAGTGCCGTTAGACACGCACACACACTCCTCCCCCTCCACTTCTCCTTCAAACTGCGTTTTGCTGGCTTGCTTGCTGCCGGGGTAGGCGAGGGAACGTGGAGTTTCCCATCCAGGGGCTGCCTTCTCCACAGACAGATGCAACACTGAGCTCAGAGAGAGCCAAACTAGCAACAACCCTACACAAGAGCCACAGAAGAAACATCACCAAACCCAGCAGGCACAAGGGCCCGGGAGAAATACGACTTTCCAAGGGGGAAGGCTAAACTCTTCTCTGCCAGCTGTCCCTTTGCTGCAGCGGCTTTTCTCCCCTCCTGCTCTGCGCAGAAGCCCGGGGCCGGGATCTTGGCATGCAAGCGGACGTATTCCCGGTGTGATTTCAAGCACCGAAATCTACGAAGATTTCTGTTAGCAACGGCCGATGCAACACGGTGCCTGAGTTTGACTCCTCTTCTCTAGCCTGCGGTGGGGTTTTGATCAAGAAATCGTTTCTCAACGCTCTGACATTTGGGGGGTGCAAGGACTGCAGGGGCCTGCTCGGGATGGACACTCATTTAATTAGTTAACCGGTTAAACAGACCTTTAAATGGTTAACTGGCTAAAAAAGGGGGGGGGGGGGGGGGACTGGTTAGCAACGGCCGATGCAACACGGTGCCTGAGTTTGACTCCTCTTCTCTAGCCTGCGGTGGGGTTTTGATCAAGAAATCGTTTCTCAACGCTCTGACATTTGGGGGGTGCAAGGACTGCAGGGGCCTGCTCGGGATGGACACTCATTTAATTAGTTAACCGGTTAAACAGACCTTTAAATGGTTAACTGGCTAGACAGGGCGGGGGGGGGGGGGCACTCCACCTCAGCTGGGCCTGAGCAGCCCCAGGCCCTCAGCAGGCTGTTCCAGCCCCTCAAGTTAACCCTTCACATCCTTAGTTCCAGCCCTAGCATCAGGGATGAAAGTAACATACATTTCTTACAGGTACTGGGGTACTGGGTTTGTTTAGTTTAGAAAAGGGAAGATTGAGGGGGGACATGATAGCCGTTTTCAGGTATCTAAAAGGGTGTCATAAGGAGGAGGGAGAAAACTTGTTCATCTTGGCCTCTAAGGACAGGACAAGAAGCAATGGGCTTAAACTCCAGCAAGGGAGGTTTAGGTTGGATGTTAGGAAAAACTTCCTAACTGTCAGGGTGGTTAAACACTGGAATAAATTGCCCAGGGAGGTTGTGGAATCCCCATCTCTGGAGATATTTAAGAGTAGGTTAGATGAATGTCTAGCAAGGATTGTCTAGACCTGTGGTCACCAACCAGTAGATCGCGATCTACCAGTAGATCTCAGGGGCTCTAAGAGTAGCTCTTGAGCCCTCTCTGAACTGCGCGCCTGCGCATTGCATTTACATTAGATTTCCTCATTTGAGGAGCAGCTACTCACTGATCAACAACACAGGTGAGTAGCTGCGAGGAATGGTGGGAGCTGGGGGGGCT